TGACATGGTTAAAGTATACTGCCGACAGTTACTAAACTAAAACTAAAATATACTTTAATGTTATTTCTATTGAAACTTGTATGTAATTTATTTAAATATATATTTAGAATTGCATATTTTCAATGATGGCCTATTTCATTATGTTATCTGTAAGTACATTTTTTTTAAATGCACTTTTAAGATTTGAAGTACACTACAAGTGCACATTCAGTCCAGTTAAGCACACTTCTTATAAGGGTCCTCACTTAAGGAACCAGCCAGACGGAGTCAAATGAACGCAAAGATGGCATCAGCTTTTTGCAGCTTATAGTGACAAATTGATAAATACATTGAAGTCAAAATGTGTACAGTTCTGATTGTTCCATGTTTCTTTTTGTTTCGTCATAGGATGCAAAGCCCCTGGAAGTTTATAGCATTGAATTTATGGTGGACAATAACCAGCTTGGCTTTCTAGGTAAGTGACTTACTTTCTTCTGTTTAATGCTTAAACACTCTTGTAAACGTCACTCATTTGACCTATTAAACCCTTTCTTAGTTTCAGACAGAGACAAAAACCTGTTGGTCTACATGTACCTGCCTGAAGGTGAGTCGTTTATTTGATCCTTTCTGCAATACTTTTAGACTCTGCTCTTTCCCAGTGTCCCACATCAGACGCATGTCCTTCATTGTACCATCTTTAGCCAAAGAGAGTTTCGGGGGCATGCGTTTGCTGCGACGAGCAGACTTTAACGTGGGCGCTCACGTGAACGCCTTATGGAGGATGCCATGCCGCGGGACTCTGGACACGGCCAGCAAAAAAGCGCTCACCTGGGACAACAAACACATCACCTGGTTCGGTGAGTCTCTTCACCTGCTTCTCTGGAGGCTTTTGAACACCTTCGCACCCTTGCAACCAACATTCATGAAACGTGATCATTGAGCCATCATTATTTTATAATTCCCAAACTAGTTAAACCAGTTCATTAGAAACCTAAGTGTGATTCTGTGTCTGTGCAGCTACGTTGGACGGTGGCGTCGGCATGCTTCTGCCAATGCAGGAGAAGACGTACCGCAGACTGCTGATGTTGCAGAACGCCCTCACCACCATGCTGCCACATCATGCTGGGCTCAACCCAAAGGCCTTCAGGTACTGATTCTTCTCATTAGTACTGCTGACGTCCTGAGAGGCGCGAATCAGCGAAACGCTACAACGTTCCAGCTTGTCATCGCATTACACCACTTCTTGGGATTCAGCGCTTTTGACCAATGAACTTTTTAGGAATTGCTTTTCAATTTCAAAACACTTTATTTGTCCCTAAGGGGCAATTAATGAGGCCACATAGAGTAACGTAAACATTATACATAAAAACATCCTACATTAAATAAATAACACAATGTGCACGGAATACATATTAATGGATACCTAACATATATATTAAATAATAATTACAATCAAGGCATGATAAACAAGGGGGCTAGAGATGGTTGAGAATTTAAAAGCTGCACTGATTTAGGAACAAAGGTTGCCTTCCTCCTTTGTGTCCTACAACATGGACAACGAAGCCGTCACCGTGAAGAAGCCACTCAAAAACAGAGAACATTACATGTGAAGTGTCTCGCAAAATCCATCCAGCCAACCTCAGCATTTGCTGTTCACTTATAATAGAAAGAGCCCTAATCGGGAGTCCAATCATTTTTGAGCAGACTTTAACCGAGCGCTCCAGACTATTTTTATTTTGGAGGCTTATAGATTGAAACCAGCAGACAATGGAGAATGTAATGACACTTTCAATATAGGAGTGGTAGAACATAGTGAGCAAGTTCTTACTAACTCCAAATGAATTGAGCTTCCTTAAAAGGTAATGCCGCTGCTGGCATTTCCTCAGTATCTCCTCTGTATTAGAAGTACATTTTAACAGATTGTCAAAAATTGTCCCAAGGTACTTGTACTCTTTGACAATTTCTATAGGCTTTCCATGAATAACAGTAGGTACTGCCATAGCCACCTGCCTCTGCTTGTTAGAAAAGGTTACTTCCATCTCTTTAGTCTTATTCAAGAGATGGTAGTAACCTTTTAGAGATTGGGGTAGATTTCCAATTGCATCTCAGGGAATTTGTTTGTATCTCTGGAATCGCCTTTTTCTTTGGAACAGATTTAAACAATTAATATTAATTAATACTTAACATTTTACAAATGAGACCCTCAATGGACAGATGTGCGAGCAAATTTTACTCTACGTGAGCATTTCATAAAAAGCCAATAAATATTTTAGGGCAGAGCATAACTAAAAAGTTACATTCAGTAAAAGACATTTCCTGGCCAGGTTTGACATTTCTGTTGCATATTTTAGTGCACTTCTTTGTACCCTCTCAGCATTTCCTACTGTGTATTGCTGCAGGATGCTGCACTACGATCGGCGGACGTTGCAGAACGCTGTGAAGAACATTCTGGACGGAGAGCTGCTGAATAAGTACCTGTACCTCAGCACCATGGAGCGAAGCGAACTGGCCAAGAAGATCGGCACAACGTCAGACATTGTGAGTGCTGAACTCCAAGACACTTACTGTCACACAATGTACCTCAGTGAGCAGTGAATGATACACCCTCAGTGCAGGGCAGAGGAGATGACAATTATGAACAAGTGCTGGAAATATATAATCATTTGATATAATTAAGCAGTAATTGTGCTGGAACCTAGCGCCGTCTTTTTTATATATTCAAAAAACAAAAACTTTATATAAATTAATTAAATTTTAATTAAATTAAATTTCTTCTGGGAATGAAATAGTTCCTAAAGAAGCTGAAGCACTCAGCTGAACGTGGCCAAAAAAAACAAACAACGGTCATTCTGGAGTGCAGGTTCATTCTTGCCTATTTCTTGGGGAAATTTAATTAGTCAAAATTGATAGAAAATGTGTAGTCGGATATAAATATAGCATCCCATTCATTGGCAACCATATAAACATTACTCACGCTGATGAATTCATTCTAGATAGCTTGCTGATGATTCTGGAAATTCAGTCAAATAAATGCAATTTTCACTATTAGAAATACATACAGTACGCATCAAATTTTGTTCTTATATTGAATTATTTTTGTTTTTGATTTCTATAATTATAACATTAAGTAATTTAAAAAAAATGTTCCTCCCTTTTTTATTATTTTTTAAATGACTATATAGTTTCTATTTATTAGTTTATTTAAGTTACGGTTTTTAATTTTAAAAACATTTTATTTTATTTAAAGTAAAAAAAAGGTTTTAGTTAACCATAAAAACTGGCCCTCAAACCCGGAAATTCAAGTATTAAAAGGACGTTTCCATATTTGCAATAATTCCAGTTGCATATGAAAGCCAGCATTAAATATCTGGCATCGCTGAATGCCTCTTGGCCAATCAAACGAGAGACCTAGACGTGTTGTTGAATCAGATACTACAGTAATTACCTTAAGAGCAGCGCTGACAGCAATAATCTCCACATGTGCTTCCTTCCTTCCGGTTCATGAGCTTTTCTGCTCTCTTTGTTTCAGATCTTGGATGATCTTCTGGAGATTGACAGAGTAACTGCTCACTTCTGAAGAGCTTCTGCTCTCACTCTCAATGCATTTCATCACCTGAAGATTCCCTTTCTGCCCGCTGTTTTATATATTTCAGTGTTTTGATAGAAAATCTGAAAACTAAAATTTGTTTTTTGTTGAGTGAAATAAGGAAATGCAGTAAATGGTATTGTATTTCATGAAATATTTTGTAAGTAAAAACCAAAAGAAAATGAACACATTTTGCATCTTGACATTCAGAGCAGACAATAATGCGGATACTCCAGTGCTTTCAGTGTCATTATTTTTCCCTACAGACACGGGTCCTTCTGTCGGCAGATAGTTTGACCACTAGAAGGGTACAACTAAGAAACAGATTTCTCTTAGACTTCCCTTGTCAAAAACACTATAAACTGCCAAAAGAACAATATAATCCATAAACCATGTAATTTGCTTGGCTGTGTTCATATGGGAAGCGAAAGAGATGGTTTTCTGTTTGTTTTCTGCGTTAAAGTGGCGACAAATCTTTTCTTCTGTATTGTGACGTACATCCGGGTGTAATGGATTATCAAAAAAGAATGGACGGATGAAATGAATGCAAGCTTTGCAATCGAATGTGGAGGAGACCTGGATACGTCACCATTCTGTCATTTTCACCGGAAAATCCAGTTATATCTTAATGAACCATTATGAGGTCAGAAAAGAAACATACATGATGATTTTTTTTCACAATATGATCAATAAGATGCTAAATAGAAAGGTTTTATTTTATACCAACTTTAAAGGGATATTTCACCCAAAAATGAAAATTGTCACCCTCAAGTTGTTCCAAACCTGTATACGTTTTTTCTTCTTTTGAACAAAAAAGACGATATTTTAAAGAATGTTGGTAACCAGACAGTTTATCCCCATCTTGAGGGCGAGTAAGTGATGACAAAATGTTAATTTTTGGGTGAACTATTCAATTTCAATTGTAATAGACTCCAGGAGATACAAGAGCATCAGTTTGGACTCTGGAAAATCCAAACATTACACAAACAAAACTGAAATAATAGCCTCTTATAAATGATTTATTTTCAAAATAAATTGCATGGTAGATTATGACACACAAATGTTTGACAGCGCAACACCTCTCAGCTCCAACTGCATATTCGCCATCGATTTAATCAGTGAAATCCATATAAATACAAAACAATCTTGCACAATTTTTTAACTAAGTAGTAAAAAGTTCTCTATAATTGCCATTGCAATAAATTGTTAAACCTCATGAGGTAAAAGGTTTTAAGCATAAACATTTACTTTGTTCAAAGTGATATAGCCACCATTAAATGATCATCACGAATCATTTGAGTGTTTCTGAGGCCTACAGAAGAAATTAATGTAGGTCTCACTGCTTCTTGAATGAAAGAGGTCCTTTAAATGCTGGGACATCATAATTGATTAAAGCTAAATTAAAAAGTGCTTGGCTTTCTGTGCTTATTTCAAAGAAAAGCTACAGAGAGGGAGAGATAGAGAGTGTGTGTGAGAGGTTCCTGAGAGCCCAAGCTCGAGTGAAACTCGTTAAAAGAACAAACAGCATTGAGAGCAAAGCCATATCCAACACGAGTGAAACCAGGCTCAGAGGTGACGCTTCATTTCAGAAACTGATACACGTCCTGGTCCAGCGTGATAATATTGCAGTAAGACAGCAGCTTAAGCAGAGAGTGAGTGACACTCATGAGCGCCATCTCTGACCTGGAGGAACACAGAATGACGTCTGATGCTTATTACACACAAACAATATGGTTGCCATATGGGCTAAAACCGCAAGCTTGATTCCAGTTTAATATTATTTTCATCTGCCACTGAGATATCAAATCATGACATGGACTAGTGTCTGTGAATACTGAAGCACAAAAAGAACATTTAAAGGATTAGTTCACTTTAAAAAAAACTTTTGCTGATAATTTACTCACCCCCATGTCATCCAAAATGTCCATGTCTTTCTTTCTTCAGTCGAAAAGAAATTAAGGTTTTTGATGAAAACATTCCAGGATTTTTCTCCATATAATGCACTTTGCTGGGCACCAAACGGTTCAAGGTCCAAAAGACAGTTTCAGTGCAAACTGCAAACTGTTCAAATGGCTTTAAACGATTCCAGACGATGAATAAGGGTCTTATCAAGCGAAACGATCGCTCATTTAAAAAATAAATAAAGTTTAAGTTTTATAAGCTCAAATGTTCGCTTTGCTCTGTTCTGTGTGACATCTTGGATGACATGGGGGTGAGTAAATTATCAGCAAAAGTTTTTTTTAAAGTGAACTAATCCTTTAAAGCTGCAGTCTGGGTTTTTCCTCTTTGTCGCCATCTCTGTTCGAAATCTGCATTTTGTAGTTATTCGCGGAATTATCAACTTTACTTGAATTGTGCCTCGACATGGCAAAGCGCGGATGAATCCAATGTTTTGAGGTTCGCCGGTGTGGATACTGTCATTTGGAATCACAGATTCTACTTTTTGGAAGTATGACCAACATAAGGATTTTCACCCTAAAATGTCATCTGAACAAGTAACATCCACTTTTGTTCTGACTGATTAAGGGAAAAAAAAGCATTGCAGTAAATCACGCTGATTAAATCTAACGATCGCTTATCATATCACGTTAAACCGTGCAAATTATATTTTGTTGTCAAATTGTTAATGTTAACAACATCAGCATTGCGTGACTACATTTAATGCCCTTCCGATATGTATCCTTGTTTTCGCATGGGCCGGTTGCAGTCTCTTTTTCAAAACTCTCAGTCCAAAGTCTTTTGCATATTACAACGGGTGAATCTCCAGTTGTCACTGCTTGTCGTTTGAACCTTTCTGGATCCGCCATCAAATTGATAAGTTTAATTATATCAAGTGCTGTGAGAAAAGGCTATAAGTCTCCACCTCCAACATCCTCACACGCAATATAGCCTACTAGCCGAGACTCCTTCTTTATGTGTACAGATGTGACGTAATGACGCAAAGACATGCTCGAATCTCCCGCGGAAATCCACCAGTACCACTGGAATTAAAAACATTATTGCAAGCTTACCGCTTTGAATCGAGCTAAGGCAAGCAGATAGTTTTGAACACTGGCTGGTTATGTACTTGCTCAAAAAATTATTTAGGATAATTTTTAACCCAAAAAAGTTACGGACTGCAGCTTTAAATACGAAGTCTGCTTATTCTCTGGGTGCTTCTCAATTCTTATTTGTGCATCCTCGTTTCCTTCCCTCCCTAGGTAGGATGCGAGGGGAGGCTGCAAGGAAAGAAAAGTAGGACGGAGGAAGCTTTTTTTATACATTGGAATACTTGATCACTCGAGCGTCACTTCACAGCGTCATCAGCTTTGTTTTCCAAAAAATTGAAAGAATTGTTACATTTTCATTTAATTACATTTTAAAAGATTAAATAATTGTTTATGTTTTATGCCTTCATTTGATTATATCTGTTTTTTGTTGTTTTTTTTTTACAATACATTTCTATTAAATTATAAATCCAGAAAAATTCAAACTAAATTAAATCACTAAATTATTAATCAAATTAATTAGACATTCTTTTTAATTATAGGAGTATTTCCCCTATAAATGTAATTTTTGTTAAACTTTTAATAAATAGTTCAATTGTATATGTTTATGCTTTCAATTAATTAGACATGCTTTTTGATTATTTAAAATTGAATTTAACTATTAAAATTGAATCCAGAAAAATGTTTGGGAAAAAAATAAATCAGATTTTATAGAGGTCTAGTGTCATCACCGTAAAGCGAATTCAAACTTGACGCTCTGCCAAAAGGACCAGAACCAGCGGAAGACTGACAGTCTGGGAAGAATCCTGGTGTCATCGGCCAGAGTTCTGCCCCATCCTCTCACAGCACTGAAACAAAGTTATTTTATATTAAAATGATGGATAGCAGAAGGGTGAACAAGATCAAAATTCTAAACAGAACCATAAATACGAAAACTTACATGGGGCAGCAGTTATTCTACAGTATTCAAGAAGGAATAGGACAATGAAAAGAATAGAAATACAAAGATTTTTGGGTCAATACTAGAGCCTAGCAGGTGCTAGTCCTTTCCTAGTCCCCTACCACTTGGCCATGATGAAGTAGCGGTCGACTGGAGCTCCCAGAGTGATGTTGATGCAGCGGACCGTGTTAATGTTCCTGAACACCAGCAGCATGGGCCGCGGCATAGACTTCAACACCTGCATGATTTGATCAAAGCGGTTCATGGCCATGTCACGCATGTACGACGTCTCCTCTCGAGTCAGGATGTTACCCAGGCCCATTTCCCACATGTTGATTGGCCGCTGCAGAAGCATCTCACTGAACAGGAAGTATTCTGGGAAGGTCCAGTGAGATGCAATGAATATGATCAAAATACTTTTTGATAGGGGTGTAACAATATATCGCAATACAAAAATGCAACAATATACATCGTGGCTAGTTCACCCACAATTAAAATTACCGTACTGCGTGAGAAAAAATGAAAGTTTACAGAGTTTTGGTGTCAGTACTGCATTAAACTAACTACTATATATAATGTTGAATGTAATGTATAATAATTGAATATTTTTGGGTCCTGATAATGGCAAATGTCTTATGTTATCGGTAAAAAGTGGCCAAAGTTATTTTTAATATCTAGTCAGTGACAGAGTGCAAGCATATTTGTCTAAAATAATTCTGTATTTTCAGCTTCAGAATCATGAATATTTGTATTCTGGTGTGACTATTGTCCTGTGCATTGGGTTACCAGCCCCAAGTCCAAGCTTATTCATTTCCACCCCAATGTAACACCAAATTTAGCATTTTAATCAACAGTACATTTTTTGTTAACCTTTTACAATATGTCTTGGAGTATCGCAATAATACCGTATCGTGAGTTCAGTATCGTGATATGTATCGAATCGTGACATGAGGGTATCGTTACACCCCTACTTTTTACAAACAGTAATGTTATGTGAAATAATATTACAATTATTACAATTGTACAATTACAATTTCGTTTTCTATTGTAATATATTTTAAAATGTAATTTTATTCCTGTGATATAAGAAACAAATATCAAGAAGTTTCAGTTAGCAGAATTTGAATAGTATACATATTAACTACATAACTGCCTTTTGTCACGATAAATTATGAAAGAAAAAACTGCTTTACCTTTGACCCCGAGCTGATTTGCATATGTCTTCATGCCGGCTTCATCCCGCAGGATTATGGATCGCCACAGCTGACACAGAGCCGCTCTGTCACTGACAGAGAGAGAGAGAGAGAGAGAGTTTCCTGTCACCTACTGTTTCACGTTGATTCCAGTGACTGTAGTGTTTGTTTCTCACGTTCTCACCTTTTACTGAGGTTTTCATACAGCCCATGATCCAACAGAACTAACTCAGCTTTTTTATCTGGACCTCTTCTTACCAGTACTAAAATGAGCAATATTTCACATGGGCGACACTCATGAAGGAATGTCCGGGTCATAATTTTGAGCATCATTATATGTATTCATTCATTCCCAATAAGTATAATGACAGTAATCTTACCATTTCCCGGATGAGGATCAGCGTGAATAAAGCCGGTGTAAAAGATCTGCTCTGCGAATGTGCGGACGAGTTTATCAGCTGCCTGAAACACAGCCAGAGGAAATTATGGACATTTAATGGATGTGATGTGAGCCAGTTCATTTATAACAGATGGCATTAAACTCACGTCTTTCAGACTCAGTCCCTGACGCTGAATCTCCTCCACGTTGTTGATTTTGCATCCATCACAGAACTCTGCTGTAAGGACTCTCTACATGGGCACAAAGTCATAGTTAGTCTCCATTTACACTACCAGTCAAAAGTTTTGGATCGGACTATGTTTTTAAAAGAAGTCTCTTCTGCTCACCAAGGCTGCATTTATTTGATTAAAAATACAAAAATGTATTAATTAACAATACAGTAATATTGTTAAATATTATGACAATTTAAAATGACTATTTTCTATTTTATATATTTTAAAATGTAATTTATTCCTGTGATCAAAGCTGAATCTTCAGCATCATTACTCCAATCTTCAGTGTTCTAATATGCGGATTTGATGCTAAAAAAACATTAATTATTATCATCAATGTTGAAAACAGTAGAAAGTTCAAAACAACAGCATTTATTTGAAATAGAATCTTTTGTAACATTATAAATGTCTTTTTGACAAAATGTCAATTTAATTCATCCTTGATGAATAAAAGTATTGATTTATTTTATTCCCCCCCCCCCCCCCAAAAATAAAATAAAAATTCTTACTGACCCCAAACTTTTGAATGGTAGTGTTAATAAAGATTTCTATTTCAGGTAAATATTGTTCTTTTGGACTTTCTATTCATCAAAGAATCCTAAAATAAAAATGTAAATTACTGTTTTGAACATTGATAATAATAAAAATTGTTTCTTGAGCATCAAATCATCATATTAGAATGATTTCTGAAGGATCATGTGACACTGAAGACTGGAGTAATGTCTGCTGAAAATTCAGCTTTGATCACATGAATAAATGACACTTTACTATATATTCACATAGAAACAGCTGTTTTAAATTGTAATAATATTTCACAATATTACTGTTTTTTTGTGTATTTTTAATCAAATAAATGCAGACTTGGTGAGCAGAAGAGACTTCTTTTATAACCATTAAAAATCATACCGATCATAAACTTTTGACAGGTAGTGTATGTGTGAAAGCTTGAGACCAAAGAAACACTTCACCGTCATATGAAGATTCTCACCTTGCTGGTCAGATCCCAGAATACTTTGGGCACAACTATAAACTTAAAATGCTTGAGTTCCTCTGCACAACGTTCAGAATTCCTGCCTTCATTCTCAAAATCCAGCTCTTGTGCCAGCGTTCCTTTCAAGTCCTACCAACATTATGGAGAAAAATAAAGAAACAATGAGAGATTGTTTCCATCTGCCTTGACCTGACTGCATTATATACTACAATACACGGATCCATTCTGAATCTGTCCTACTAAACACAGAAACATACACATGACAGATAAAACATTATCCTGAATGTGTGTGGAAACAACGTTAATGTACTTAAATGTGTCGATGCATAAATACAATGTGCGATCATTGCGTCGAGAGCGCACATACACGGTTTGTTTGCGCATCAATAACGGACTCACGCGTGCTGTACGACTCCTGTACGTCACCGCAGACGTATTTAACTTCATTACAATCCGCATCCATCAAAACTTTATTAGCGAGACGCTGGTTTGCTTTATCCAGTCACATCGTTTGCGTATCATCTGGCCAGCGGTGGGATGTTTTAACATTCCTTTCAGTTTTGAGAGTAAGTTTTGATTTCATGCAGTTTTAAACGCATTATATTTCACGCACTGACCTGTAAGACCCAGCGGAAGCCAAAGCTGGGGTGCATAGATTTCACAATGTCCAGCAAAATCTCCAGAGTCCTGATATCACCATCAAAGCGATCCCTGAGATCAATATACTGCACCTGAACAACACACATCGACAGATCCTCATAACAACACAAATGCATCAATGTCCACTGGATCATCACTTCATACTGTTCGTATATCACCTGTTCTTGCAAATACTGAAAAAAAGTACAACAGTACAATACTGCACTGGACTATCAAATCATGTTTAACCAATTAAAATATCATCTATCAAACTGATGAATCAAGGAAAATGCACATAAACTGTATTTTATCAACAGTTATCATGTGCAGCCCTAACACACCTTTACAGCCACAGGTGTCCCATCATGCAGTTCGGCCTTGTGTACTTGTGCCAGACTCGCAGCAGCCACAGGGTCATAGTCAAACGTCCTGAACATTTTATCTGGAGTCATGCTGAAGTCCTCCTGGAATAAAGCATCTACCTAGAACAACATGGATCGAGATAGATTTGATATTAAAGTGATAGATAGATAGAGATTCCAGCTGAATCTTAATGTGTTCTGCTTCTTAAAGGGGTATATAATGCAATTTTTGTACAAGCTAATATGATTCTTTAGGGTCTAAATTAAAAGTTTGTAATATACTTTAATTAAAAATTCTCATTAGTATTGTAAGAAAACACTTATTTTACCTGGTCAAAAACAGCTCTGTTTTCAGCACGCAGTTTCAGTGCATATGACTTTAAATGATAATGAGCTTTGCTCACCCCGCCCCTCTGTTCTGCGCGTACACCGTTTGTAACACAATAACACAATAACCATAACGCGTTGTTCATTATAGACGTGGGATTATGAATTACATTGAGAACGTCGTACATAGAAAACATGCCGTAATGTACCCTAAGTGTAAACCTTAGACGCATTCATTGTGAAGCGTGCAGCTAGCGATTTGCAAAGATTAATATAAATATTAAAGGGATAGTTCACCCACAAATTAAAATTAAGTCATTAATTACTCACCCTCATGTTGTTCCAACCCCGTAAGACCTTCGTTCATCTTCGGAACACAAATGAAGATATTTTTTATTAAATCTGAGAGCTGGATCACTCCTCCATAGGCTTCTTAAGGGAGTGAAACTTGACGGCCCAGAAAGTCATTGAAGAAAATGTTTAAATATTCCATGTGACTACAGTGGCTCAACTATAAGTTTATCAAGCGACGAGAATACTTTTTGTGCGAAAACCCCCCCAAAATAACGACTTTATTCGACTATTCCTTTTCTTCCTTGTGGGCCTGAGACGAGAGTTCAAGAGATTTCCACGACGCATGCGCGAGAACTGAGAAGAGGACGTTCTTCTTCTACTACTTCTTGTTCAGTTCTCGCGCATGCGTCGTGGAAATCTCTTGGAAGCCTATGTAGCAGTGATCCACCTCTCAGATTTAATAAAAAATATCTTCATTTGTGTTCCGAAGATGAACGAAGGTCTTACGGGGTTGGAACAACATGAGGGTGAGTAATTAATGACTTAATTTTCATTTTTGGGTGAACTATCCCTTTAATATAAAGTTTAATAAAACGTTACACTCACTTCAGTTGTTCTAGAGGTGCAGCAGGAACACGAATAGCTGGTACCGATCCTTTTTTCAGGAGCAGCTTCTTAGCAAAACCAGCTTTATACTGATCCTCGTTTATAAAGCAGTCTGGTGTGTGAAATGATTCGCGCAAACATGAGAGCATTGACGTTGCTCGTGGGGAATATTCCCTTCGAAAACAAACTCAGCCACAGCCACTGCGTCTTCAGCAGTTCGGATTTAGGAACATTAAAATGACTGCTGTGTTAGTTATTACACCCAAGAACAGAACACCACAATCGCTTAGACGCCATTCTGCTCATAGACAGTGCTCCAGCGTATCAACAATGACCGCGCGGACAATGATTGAGTCAACAATCGTGGGAGAGGCGTCCGACCGTGTGACGTCACACGGTCGAACGGCTTGATTTGAGGCAGGGGAAAACATATAAGGAGATTAAAACAAAAACACTGGATGGATTTTTATCATTTTATGATGGTTGTGTACAGGCACTGCCAACACACATTTCAGTACAATCAACTTTTGCCATTATATGACCCCTTTAACCTGAAGCTGCTCACCTCTTTGTATCTTCTGTTGAGCGCTTTATCCTCCAGCACATGCAGGGTGCGGATGTACTCTGGAGGTAGAAGATGGTTGAATGCACACAGTCCCTGTCCCAGCTTAATATACAGGCCTCCGTTCTGGATAGCCCCGTCTACCATTTTACTGGCTGCTCTCTGATGACACGCTGACATGAGCTCCTCATACTCTGGACTGCTCTGGCGACAGGGACGGAAACAGAGTTTAGAGCTCACAGCGTTTGGCATTTTTACTGTTTACTTGTTTTTATAACAATGTTTTGCACTGGATATATTTGTGCATAAAACGTCATAAAGGTTTAAAAGCATAGTTCCCCCAAAAATGAAAATTCTGTCATCATTGACTCACCCTCATGTCACTTCAAATCTGTAATATGACTTTCTTTCTTTTGGGAAACAGAAGATATTTTGAAAAATGCCTGTGTTTTTTTTGTTATCCATACAAGCCATACAGGTTTGAAACAACATGAGGGTGAATAAATGAAAAAAAATTGGGGGTCCTGTCAAACAATTGAAGACTAGAAATACCCCCAACCCCCCAAATTTACCAATTTAATACATATTTTTACGGGGGTATAAACCTACCTCATCCAAGCCACGCAGAACAATGTTGGATGTCCACCAGTAATCTGCTGATATCATCAGCCCGACATAGAGAGACCTGACATGACACAGAATCAGATATACATCTAAATTTCAGCCAGGATACAGGTATGTCAAAACCAAAAGCAAAATCTGACATCTAGAGATCAGAGAGCCTGATGGGTAATATAATGCCATACACTAACTTTCAAAAGTTTAAGGTTGGTAAGATGTTTTTGAAAAAAAGTCTCTTACTCACAAAGGCTGCTTTTATCAGATCAGAAATAAAGCAAAAACAGTAATACTGTGAAATATTATTACAATTTAAAATTTGTATATTGTAAAACTTTCAATTTATTCCTGTGATGCCAAAGCTGAATATTCAGCATTAGTCTTCAGTGTCACATGATCCTTCAGAAATCAGTCTAATATGTGATTTGCTGCTCAAGAAAAAATGTATTATTATTATCAAGGTTGAAAACAGTTGTGCTGCTTCATATTTTTGTGGAAAAGTAAATTATTTGATAAATAGAAAGTTAAAAAGAATAGCATTTATTTGAGATTGAAATCTTTTGTAACATTATAAATGTCTTTATTTTGATCAATTTATTGCACTCTTGCTGAATAAGTCTTAATTTCTTTAAAAAACAAATACTAACCTTTTGAATGGTAGTGTATATAAGTAAGGAATAATTGACGACAGGCCGTTGAATTATTAGAAAAATAATGCACACCCGAGTTGGTAACGCGGTCACGACGCGAAGCGGAGTGGCCGTTACACCTCGGGTGTAACATATTAAAAACTTTCAATTTATTCTGTAAATAAATGGCGGAGCTACGTCACCACCAGCAGAGTCTCACATCTCTCGCATCAATAAGCTCTGCGTTGTTTCTTCAATCAAGATGGCTCCAGAAGCATCAGGTGGACACAATTTTGCTTAGGAACGGTGTTTTTTTTTTAAGAAAAAAGAGAGGTGTTTTTTTTTCATTTAGTGACTGCACTTAAGCAATTTGCAACATTTGCTAAGGACAATTTGCTATACAGACAACAGCAGATTTTAGATTTATTATATTGATTTTTTTTTTTTTTTTACAAGTACTGATATTCATTATGAGTGGTTTTGATAACTATCACACTCCAAAGGTAGAGGATGGGGTTTATTGAAAGTGCCAAAGTCATTACAGTTCAGTGGGCCTGATGTACAGAGTTGTGCTCATGTAATCATAGACAGTCACACTTCCAATTCAGATCCATTAGTTTGTGAGGGCCCATCCACAAGTTATGAATCAGATGCTTCAAGAGAGCAACAGGGTGTGTTTTCGTCTACTCCATACCCTAATGCACAGCCACCAAATGTAATAACTGCAATGACTGACATAATCAGCAGGTCGGTCAGCAAATTGCTGATAGCATAGTCCCCAGACTAAGCACATAAAGTTGGCGCGCATTCAGATAATTCCTCCAAAAATGTGACGGCAGATGGAACAGCTTCACAAATGCTGGACCTGATACAAAGCCAGTTGTCCTTTTCCAAAAATGTGAGAGAACCTCCTAGCTTCAGGGGTTCAGCTTGATGCTGTTGACTTAAATAAGTGGATAGAAATCATGAGAGACTATATAAAACGCAATAATTTGAGGAAAGATCATCAAGCGGAGTTGATTATGGTCCATCTAAGAGGCAAAGCAAGGGATGTGGTCAAATGTGACGTTGACATTGTGCATAACCCTGATGCAATCTTTAGTATTCTCAGGAAACACTTCGAAGGCATCGTCTCCCACTGGCTGACTTTTATACCACCTTACCCAGACCAGATGAGGATGCCTTCGAGTACTGGATCAGGCTAAACCGTGCAGTTGACATCACTGCTGAGTGCTTGAAAGAACAGGGTAAAGTACTGGATTGTCCAGGAACAGAGGTAACCCGCATGTTCATCAGACACTGCCCGCGTGTAAAGAGCTTGCCATCACCTTTCGATCTAAAACAATTGGCGCATGATCTGTGCGAGAAGTTCAAGATATTTTGAATGAATATCACTCAGATTTCAGTCTTGTATCTGCAGTAAGAAATGCAGCACCCACTAAAATTCCTGTAAACAGAACTGAAGTGAAACTGTCATCTGCAGTACTTCCAGATACTTCTAATGTCCAGCAGTCCAGGTCTCTGGAAGCGTCTGCATTAGAGAGAGTCATGAGCTTATTGGAAAAAGTCCCGTAAAAAGAATCTGCCAGCAAAGAGCCAAGTTCACGTGTGGAGCCCAAAGTGAGTCTACCTCGAGTAAAAGGCCTCAATGACCCGCCATGCACTGTCTGTTCGAGCCCTGATCATTTTGGCCTCACGCATTATTGTCTTGATAAAAAGTTGTGCTCCCAGTGTCACTCTCCTGACCATTCCCGCTTTGTCTGTCCTGAGAGAGTGAAATCTCCATCTTCTCAAGGGCTGGGAAACTAGAAGATCGGGAGGACAGTGTGGATTGTGAGTTTATTCCTCCAAACTAGTGTTGTATGAATGACTCAACCTCAGTTTATAGTCTTTCTAGTTCTGTTGAGCCTGCAGGGAAAACTATAATTTTTCAGAACACGCACAGAGTACAGCGAATTGATAGTCTGTTTTACACACCGGCGACACTATGGGGCGTCCTTCAACTGAGAGCTATGGTTGACAGTGGCTCCATGGCATGCACGATGAGTGAAGCTGCTGAACGTCTATTGTTGCAGCACAAGCCTAATTTACAAAAGCTCCCTGCCAGTGATGTTGTCATAATTGGTTGTGGCAAACAGCGTGTTACCCCGAAAGTGATGTATGAGCTTGAGCTCTCAGTTTATGCCTGCAAGATGGTTGTTCCAGTTTTAGTAGTTCCAGGCCAAACCGACGATTTGATCCTGGGCAGCAATGCTATCAAGTGGCTGATTCAAAAAAATGAAAGAGATACTGGAGACTTGTGTCCAGCCCGGTTAACTCAGAAGATGTTGTAACAGTTTAAATAATGCTGTTAAATTCATGCATTAATTGGGAAAACTCGACATTGGCTGTTGCGTCACTCGCATTTGCGTACATGATATTCTCACATCTCTCGCTGCTGGTAAGTCGCATCAATGAGCGCAGCGTCATAAAAACGGAGTTTAGATTGTTTTCAAGTGCAAGGTTGGACTTTTATACTACACACAAGTTTACTTCATTTTTCTGTCAGTCGAGTCAAATATGTGTTATTTGCGATAAAATGGAGTGTGTGTGTGCTTGAACCTGCTTGTGAACTCCGAATCTCTGTTTATTTCATTTAAGACTTCTGAGCAATGTTGATGCGTTGATGTACACTAACCAGCTTTTGGTCGTGTTTGTCCCAGGTATATTTTATATTTGGATTTGTCATGTTCTGTGTAAAAATATATTAGCCGAATTGAGTGTTAGCACCAGCTATATGCTCGCACGTGCTGAACTGTTTAACTGTGCCATTTTAGGTCGGCGTTCTTCTCTTTCTGTATTTATACAAAAATATGTAAAAAGATGGTTACTTAAATTTATAGTTTCTCTGTATGTATGTGAATTGATGAGAAATGAAAACAGAGACAGTGATTTATATTTTATTTCTTTAATGTGTTTTATTTTGAGTTGTATTCCACTATATGTTCACGATCACATAGGGCTGGACGATCTGGCCAAATTTTATCACATATATTTCTTAATTTCGGTCGATACGATATAATTCCGATATCGATATGAACAATATAAAAGCCTCAGAATAAACTGCCAAGAATTCCCACACAACGGATGTCTGTACCTAAAATCTTCTGAAAAATGAATTTGCCAAGTCTATGAAACCTCCTCATATAAAACTACATAATATTTTAGAAATAAAAATGGTAAAAATAAATTAATGTTCACCTTTTATTTGTATTTAACCTTTATACAAACAAGAAAAGTCCAATAAACACAAGACTCTCAGACTGACCTTATTAATATATTTAATTACTTTAAACAATAACATAGTTTATATTATTTTACACAAAACTTCTTGTAACAAAACTTGTTCTTGTAAACCAAAGTGCTTCAGCCAGGATAAAAAATATGAAAAGTGCTCAGCTGCAGAAAAAAGAGAAAAAGAGTGAGCAACAACAAAAACACATGTTGCTGGGGCAGGGACATTTTTGAGTGTTGATGACACCCTATGAAAAACTCTAGAGGTTTCTGGCAAGAAATACAAGCTGGTCTACATTATCTGGCTTCAGAGATGATCTTTTAGATGTGACAGTGTTAACACCTGTACTAAAACCCTTTCAGAGGGGGAGCTAGTGGCCTGAATGCACAAGTGATGTTGTGCCAGTTGGCTTACTCTAGGGAAGTTCTTTTGAAAGACTTTCCACCAATCCAGAGGATTTGAGTCATTGTCAGCATTTGGAGACAGAAGGTAGTTGCCGAGCTCCCTCTCAACTGCCTGCTGTGCACTCAAGTCTTCTGTGTTAGTAGTAGTGGTGGTGGGTCTGTTAGCCAGAGCTAGCCAGAGACCACTTTGTTTTCTTGGCTGGTACAGAAATGGCTTGTCTCTCATGGCTTCTTCTCTGGACTCCTCTTCCCTTACCACAACAGATCTCTCTCCCTTCAGCATCTCCAACACAGCTCTCTCTTTGACGTATTCTCTCTTCTCCTCCTGAGTGTACTGAAGCTTGAATCTTGGGTCAACGAGGCATGCCATGTCAAGTAGATCATCCATGGCTGGGCCATCATTTAGGTTGAGGTATCCCATCACTGTTGTCTTTATGGTCCTGGCGAGCTCTGTGTCAACCTCTGCTTCCTTCAAGATGGAGGTGTTGAAGAGATGCATCACTGGTTTTAGAAATTATACACTGACATAGGACTCACCAGACAAGGCATCAGTGAATTCGAGGAGTGGGCTTAGAGCTACATCTATAGACTCTAAAACATTCACTTCTTGCCAGGTAGGAACCAGCGGTCTGGTCTTCTTGTCCTTTGATACCCCTTTTCCACCAAGGCAGAGCTGGTGCTGGTTCGGAGCCAGAGCCTAGTTTCAAATCGGTTCTTTGTTTTTCGAGCACCAAAGCACCAGCTCCGAACCAGTAAAAGTGGTTCTTAAGTAGCACCAAATCATTGCTGGTCTAGAAGTAAGAACCGCTTACGTCAGCGGCTGGGGGCGGGGTTACCGTGACCAACAAGACGAACAGAAACTTGTGACCGCCATTTTTTAAATAGCAGCTAATCGAGCTAATAGCAGCTCGATTGTAATCTTCGTTTATGCAAGTTACGGTAAGCTGCACGAACGCGTTGTATTCGCCGTGTTTGGATGCTGATGTACGTTAGGTTCGCAAAGCCATGAGCATCAATAGTAACGCAACGACCGCCATTGTTGATAGAAGGCTTGTTCGAGATGCATCGGAGCGGCGCGGACCGATCGGAGCTGCGGGAGTGTGTGGAGAGCATACGACTCCTTGTGCTTTGATCGCTTTTGCAGTGCTTTGATGTCATGCGCCAATCGGTCTGCGAGAAGCCGATGCATCTCGAACAAGCCTAGTGTGTTTGTGTTTGGCGCTGCCGCGCTAGCGTTGCTGGGCAACATGAGATGTATACAGTGACGTAAGACCTGGCTTTGTGGTGGCTCTCTGGCCTGTGGAAAGGCGAACCAGTTCTTAGAAAGCTCGTCAGTCGAACTAACTCCGAACCGGCAATAGCACTAGCTCTGAACTAGCACCTGGTTCTTGCTGGTGGAAAAGGGGTATGAGAGGACTTCTGTGATGGCCCTTTTCTGCTCCAGAACCCGATTCACCATTGACGGGAGGTTGGCGTTTCACTGATGAGCTTGTGCTTTGGCAAGTGATACTCCTCCTGAGCAGCTGCAAGGTCCCATTTCTTCTTCCAAGAGTAGGAGAAGGCAGCCACCACCTTTTTACAGACCCCAATTCCTCTGTCCACCCGCTTGTCATGGTTAACTTTCTCTGTAGACAGATAGAGAATTTTTCTTTGCAAATTGCAATATATACTTATAATTTGTATTTATATTTTAACTACAATTTTGTCGTTTATTCATATTATTCTTACTGCAAAATTCTTCTGCTTGCATTTTTTTTTTTTTTTTTACTTCACACCTGATTTGGCAAAGTAAACATATGTTCCAATGCCAGTAAAACACCTTTGAATTTAATTGAAATAATTTCTGTATGTATAATCCATACAAATATGTATGTCTTGAATAAAGATTAAATGAATAACCTATAAAATGACTTAAATAGGGGGAATAAAATCACCTAATCAAAACTACAGGCTATAGTTACAACTAATTACTAATTAAGTACAATGATTTTAGTAATATATCCTCATACCATAAACAAAATCAATTAAAGCTGCAGCGGTCCGTAACTTTTGGCGCTCTGCATGCATCTTGCGGAAGAACATTGTAGCCGGCACTATTTCTCTCCGTTTATGTCTATGACGAATCACGCAGGTACTGGGCTACTCTGCAGCAGAGTGGAGCCAAAGTAGTTTAAAATAGTCCGAATATAAACACTTATTATAGGTGTACCGTAGTGATTCAGGATAAGACAAAAACACGGTTTGGATATTGGATTCATGATGTACTGGCTCATTATATAAATTTTGCTACTTTTTAACTAAAAAGGTTACGGACTGCAGCTTTAACATAACACTACCATTTATATTAACTGTATATAACTTACCAATAGCTGGGTTTCAGTCACGTGATTATGATGACGCGCGAAATTCAGATGGAGGGCAGGGAGTAAAGAGTGCAATGGACGAGATGGAGGAAAGTCCGTACTGTACTACTTTACACGCTATTACAAGAGAAAGATATAAACAAAAAATCAAACATGTGTTGGACGTGATCCTTACGTTATGAAGAGGAGCGATTTTCAACTGAATTGAAAGATTTTCCTGCCATCGAGGCGGTAGATATCAGCAACTACCTCTTCTTACAGACATACTTTGACTTTACAAAGTTCGGAAACGTTAACGTTACACAAACATAGCCACTTAAGTTGTATTAACTCACATTTGATGAAGTGATCACTGCACACACGGGCATTTTCCCATTCGGCTCCTCCCGACCGCAGACGTAGGTTTGCAAGCCGTTTTTCCGGAGTTTTTCGGTCAATTTCTTGCATTTTCCCCCCTTATGAACAACAACTTTTGGTACACGATAAAAACTCCTCGTGGTTTGATCGATTTAAGTAACCATAAACGACGCAAAACATAGGCATTTTGAGTTTGTTATAGTGCTTTATAAATACAGCAAATCACTTCCTGCCCTCCATTTGCATTTCGCGCCATGGCAACGCAGTGGCGTGACGTCATATGAAAACAAGCTATAGCAGAGTTCAGATGATGCCCGAAGCATTGTAGTCTTGTCCATCTGTTCAACTTTGATGATATAGGCTCCGCTATCTGTGGTGATACAGACCTGCCGGTCCTCACGGAGTCCCCAGGAGGCAAGCGCATCTGCAAGTCTGCAATTGCTTCGCCCGTGCGATCCTCAGGAAAGTAGACCGTCTGGAGGCATAAGCTGACAAGCTTCCAATCTTGGTCAATAAAGTGGACTGTCAGGCTTAAGTATGGTTCTGAGGTTCGGCTTGACCACAGGTCAGCCATGGTCACAAAATATGACACTGACTTCAGATGTTCCTCCACCCTTTCCCTAACTTCACCATAAAGTGCAGGGATAGCTGTGCGTGAAAAATATTTTCGCCCAGGGAGCTCGTATCTTGGGTCGATGACTGAAAACATTTTCCTGAAGCCCACGTTTTCCACAGTACTAAACTGCATCATGTCCTTAGCCAAGAAGTTTGTAACAGCCTTTATAATGTCTTTATGACGTTTAGACTGTTTGTCATAAGGCATGAATGCAGCCATCTGTGTTTGCTGCATGGGTTTCTCTTTTGACACAGCTGGTGTTGGGGATGAGGATGGTGGTGTTGTTTCAGGGACAGGTTGGCTTAAACTTTTATGGTGCCTCATCTTCTGACTCTCAAAATGTTCTATGGGGTGGAACTGCTTCAGCTGGTGGAACAGATTTGATGTGTTCCCGCTGCTAGTCGGCACCACTCTCCGGCACATTTTGCAGCACGCTGAAACCTGAAGTTTATCAGATCTCAGAAAGCCGAACCACTTCCATACCACTGAATTAGTCTTTCCTCTCTTATCAACTATTTCATCTGCTTTCTCCTCACTTGTGGAAGCTCGTTCAGTCACATTTGTATTGCGGTCAGGGGCGCTCATTTTGTAGCTAAAACTTGCCGCGTTGGAGATCAGGCTACTACTGCTGAGCACTGGCTGCGTGTCTGTGGTGTACATCATCACGAAAGTAGCCAATTGTGTTCTGCTCTTTCTGACGGCTGCGCGCCTAACGTCAGTTAGTGACAAATGCTGTTATGTATATTGAAATATCGAAAATGTGTTTAAAAATATCACCGTTATTGAAAAAATATTGATATTGAATTTTGTCCAGCCCTACGATCATATTGTAAAAATGTATATTCAGCAGAGTCTCACATCTCTCGCTGCTGACTTCTGAGCAATGTTGATGCGTTAATGTACACTAACCAGCTTTTGGTCGTGTTTGTCCCAGTTTTGTCTGTGACAGGCCCAGTAAAGTGCAATCTTGAGTGACCATCCACCTGTTCTCAGTGTGATTCCATCCACACAAACACACACACAGTCACATATATACTTTATTTATAAAAATGAAATTGCATGTTTCCATTGATTGTGAAGTTAGACATCGAAAATTACAGATCAAGCGCATGGGGCTGCATGTTTTTTCTTGTTATGAATTGTATCCTATTTTCCGTTATTACAGTCAACTAGTGATATGGAACTGTAATGCGGTCAAGACCTGCTGGAACTACTTAAGCCTTTTCCCTGAAAATAATTGCACACCTTAGAACGTTCGTCAACCAATCAGATTCAAGCATTCAACGGCCCTGTAGTATAACATAATTTAATATTAGCAGAGCAGATTTCTGATATTAAATACTGCTATTTTACACAAGATTATTAAAGAGCTTGACCTGCAGAAGCGCCCGACTCCCTCTGCTAGTATCTTCATCTTCCTCCTCTCTCTGGGCTCTGAGACCACATATCGCACCCCGACCACGAGCGGCACCCCTGCCGAGACGCCAAACAACAGTTTCCTAAAGAGGCTGTGACTCTTTACAACTCTAGAGGAACAGAACACAATCCAGGCATCACTGGCAAAAATCTTGTTCATATACCTACTATAACATCCTGAGTGTTTTCACCCTTAAAATGAAGTCAGACCCCATAAAGCAAATGAAACCCACCTGTGTGAGGAGAAGAACTTCTGATGTTCTTGTGGACCTATGAGCCGAGGACACCTCCTTAACAGAGACATATGACGCCGACACAGCCTTAACTGAAGACAATACAAATTAAAGCTGCAAGCAGCATTTAGCGGTGTTCAAGCAGTTAAGGCCTTTAAGGCCGTTAAGCACATAAGCATCAAAAGACATTAAGTTGTATATAGCAAGCATTTAACCACTGAGACCATAGATAGAATAGACCATGTTTTAGCATGATTCGCCATGATTTATCCTGTTCTAGCATGATTTACCACAATTGAACATATTCTAGTATGATTTAATACGATTCTAGCATGATTTACCATGTTATAGGATGATTTACCATGATATACCACATTCTAGAATGATTTACCGCAGGATTGTAGCATGATTTGCATGATACACCATGTAATAGTATTGTTTACAATGATTTACCATGTTTCTATTGTGATGTACCATGATGCACCATATTGCTAGCATTAATGTGAAGTGTCAATAAAAATGAAGTGATAAACTTTGACAAAATATGATTGTGTTATAATAGTTAACATGGAAAAACTGGTTTGCTTTAGTGCAGAAAACTGGTGAAAATCAAGTGAGTCAAAATGAAAGTGAGCCAATAAGTGGTCTTCTACTGCCCTCTGCTGGCCACTGTACTTATTAATAAAGTGTTTTTTACAAGTGCTTTTGCATTCATATGTAGACATATGCTTACACACACACACACACACACACACACATGGGATATGTTATTGTGAAAATCTCTTTTAATTGTGTATAAGCATGCATTTCACATATTTCTTTGAGATGTAATAATATAAAACTATATTAAAACTAATAAAAAAATAGCTTAAAGCGTTTGTTTGTTAGCCAATGCTGAAAGCTGATAAAAAAGATTAAAAATGTCGGTAACACTTTACAATAAGGTTCATTTATTAAACATTAGTTAATGTATTAATTAACATGAACTAACCATGAGGAATACATTTGTTACTGTTTTTGTTCATCTTTGTTAACACTAGAACGGCCACGACGGTCATTTTGACCGTTTTGAATTTTATATCTGCAATAACTTTGTTGAAAAAATAAATAAAATCCTGCTGGTACCTGACTTTTCCTAAAAGTGTCTGTATTTTCATTTAAAATGTTTTTAATATAAATTACACATAAGGCAAACAAACAAATGAACATATTTACCTATTTCGGCCATAGACGGTCATATTGACCGCACTGAATTTTGCGGTATTCTTTTGTTACATTTCTCGCGGTTGACCTTTGTCTATTAGGAAATAATCAGAAGATTCAATTGCAAAATGACAGATATGTTTATTGAGAGCTGGTCAGATGCTGGGAGAGTTAAGGTGTGCAAATGTCCGGTATGAAGCCCTTGGCAGCACAGGGACGCTGGAGTGAGTGCTGAACCAGGAGTGCTGAACACGGGATGACACACGGAAAACGGATACAGGCAGGGAACAAACACGCAGGAAAAATCCACAACGATCTGACAAAGGGCCTTTCTCAATCTGTGTTCTTGTCTGTACTTGTGTCCTTGTGTTCTTGTGAAACGTCATCTTTTGTGGCCCAAGTACTGTCCCAATACACAAGTTTGCATTTTGGCAAGAACAGTTAAAAATCCCGGATGTGTTCTTGACACGCCCATTTTACCGAGGATGCATCGGTTGGTAACTTGTGTGAACTTGACGGCAGAAATATCCCAGCATTCAATTCGGCATTCGAGGAAGGAGAGGCAGGTCAATACAGTATTTCGTTTTTCTACAATTACGTACACTATTTCATCACTAAATTCACTTCTGAGAACATTTGATGCGAGAAATCAACTGTGTAGATTTCAAATATTGGCATTTTTACGAAAATGTATGGCTAATCGAAAATGTGCTCAAACGTTTTCGGAAGTGAGAATCTCCATAAGCGCCAACGGGTGTAACGTTAGCTATCGAGCCAACCGGCCAGTTTGCTCACAGACTCGTTTTTCCCCACAGCCAAGAGACCATTGCAGCCTGGCTGTTATCGTCAATAATTCTCGTTATGTTTGGGTACTGCAGACGGCGTCTGTGCGGGGGTATTATTGCGCAATACCAGCAAGAACACATCGTCTCAAACTGTCAGCAGCGTTCTGTGTGCTCGTTAGCTTGTGAGTTCATTCTTCCAAGAACAACTAGCAAGAGCGTTCTCCCCAAGAACACAAGTCCGTTCTTTGCATTCTTGGTTTTGAGAAACACCCAAAGACTAGGCGAGAACAGTAACACGGAAAAGGGTCGAATCGCTGATCAGTTGCAGCTGGCGCGTTGATCAGAGCGCACGTGCTGATCAGCTGCATTGATCAGCGACCACGCACACACACACACAACAAGACGAGAAAGGAGACAGCGAATTCATAAACCATGACATTGTCTCTCTCACTGTCAAAAGAATATCTAAATAAGATACTTTTAGTTGTTATTATCTTGTTCTGAGTTATGTTGAAGGGATATGGAAATATAGCTCTGTTGTGAATAGGCCCTATGCGATAATTACGGGCTACTGATATTATTATTTATAAATGTATAATTAAACTTTTTAAAATGTACAGTTTGGTGTTGTTTTGTTTTTAAAAGATATCTTAATACAACAAATGCATTAATCTCTCAATTGGGTATTTATCATTAAAGATATAGAGTTTGCAATCTAACGGTCAAAATGACCGCTTGTGGCAGTTCTAGTAGTTATGGAATTCTGGCACTTCTAGTGTTAACGTTAGTTAATACAAATCCAGCTGTTCATTGTTAGTTCAGGCAAAGAACGTATATTGACAAGAAGTGAAAGCCAATAGAACGTTCCATTGCAACACCAGCGCCCAGCAGCAGCCCTACGCGTCCGCCATTTTGGGGTGAAAGCGACTCGGCAGTCATATATTATACATTTATTTAGTCCAGTGCAGAGGTCATTTTTAGGTTGAAATAATTAGGTGATTATTTTAATTCACAACAGTTAACGTTATATCCGTTAAAAAGAAGTTGCTACTAGGCTTTTCCCCCACATAACTTGAGACAGGGAAGTTCAAGGATTTAATTAATTATATTAATCTCTACATTAAGTGTGACAGGTAAGAAGAATAAAGTGATGTAAGTTCATAAAGTTATAACGTTAGACCGTTTCCCAGGAGGTACACATAACCTTACATACAAAAATAAGTTCAATGAAATAAATGAATTCAGCAAATAAATGTAATTGTACTAAAATGTAAATGTTGGACAATAAATATATAACAGCAATAGAATAGCTTTACAGTAAACTGGTTTTTTTTTTGCAGTACTATTTTATATTAATGACCGTTAAAGCAAGCCTATGTAAACAAAAAAACACAGATAACGGACACACCAATGCATCATGTTAAGATCATCATGTTTGTAGCACGATCCAGGGGATTAAAACGTACAAAATATATTTCAGGCCTAGTGGAGTTGGTAACTAATAATAGTAGTAAATGTGTAAAGTTGCATAAAAATGCAAGAAAAACTACCTAAAAAACTGTTATCTGTGCTGTTGCCCAGTAACTCCAGTTGGAATTTTCACCCCAAAATGGCGGCCGCGCCACCTAGTGGCTGTTACCAGAAAAGCATCGGAGTTTCGCCTCTTGTTCTTCTATACTCTTTGGTTCAGGTTAGTTCACAGTGCATTAACTAATGTTAACAAGATTTTAATAAAGTATTTGTAAATGTTGAAATTAACATTAACAAAGATTAACATAGTTAACATTAACTAAGAATGAACAATACTCCTTCAGCATTTGTATAATGCTGCTGCTCCATCTATTGGACAACAGTGGTATTACAGACTATATACAGTTGAAATAAATGAATGGAAATTTGGTTTTCACTTATATCTCGGGAACGAGATAATGAAAAAATCTGAAACTCAGAACTTAGATAGTGTTAGAGGAGCTCTGTTGAACAAGACCATCCCGGTGTTGATGGGTGATTGGGGCCGTGGAGTAGGCCTAATGTCCATTGAAATGCATATCTTTGTGGGCTTATATCTCGGGAATGCCCAGGCCAAATCGCACCATACTCGAATCGAAGCTAGACGAGGACAGGGCCTTTCCAACAAGCTCTGTCACATGGATCTAGGTAGTCTAGGTCGGGAGTTACAGCCGTTTGAAATCGTGGGTCTCACGAATTAGCGATTCGCGGGGGGGCGTTCCCGAGCCCCGCGACGATAGATTTGGATCAAGAACCCCGAGAGAACCTTACCATCAAAATTTGAGCGTGCAGCGACTTTCTGTTTTCGAGTTATGAGTGAATTTGTCCTTGGGGGGCGTGGCCCAACGTTATACTTTCGTTTTCAGCCTTCCTGTGACACAATTGTAAATAGTAATAAATAAAATAAATAAATGCAGTCCATAATACTCCAATAGATGAATTTGGAGAAAAAAAAATTGTAAACGTTGAAATAATGATTTTAGAAATTCTAAATATGAATTATAAAACAATATTAGGGAGTAGTATGATGAAATGACAGCAAGGGGCAGTAAAATACCACTTTGGTATTTTTTTAATAAAAAATAGCTTTAAGCATTTGTTTGTTAGCCAATGCTGAAAGCTGATAAAAAAGATAAAAAATGTCGGTAACACTTTACAATAAGGTTCATTTATTAAACATTAATGTATTAATTAACATTAACTAACCATGAGCAATACATTTGTTACTGTTTTTGTTCATCTTTGTTAACGTTAGTTAATACAAATCCAGCTGTTCATTGTTAGTTCATGTTAGTTCACAGTGCATTAACTAATGTTAACAAGATTTAAATAAAGTATTTGTAAATGTTGAAATTAACATTAACAAAGATTAACAAATGCTGAAGGAGTATTGTTCATTCTTAGTTAATGTTAACTACATTAGTTAGCATTAACTAAGAATGAACAATACTCCTTCAGCATTTGTATAATACTGCTGCTCCATCTATTGGACAACAGTGGTATTACAGACTATATACAGTTGTATAAATAAAAACTTTTGTTTTCAGCCTTCCTGTGACACAATTGTAAAGAGTAATAAATAAAATAAATAAATG